TTCGCCACCTCGCCTTGCTCGCCTTGCTCGCCTGCGTATGTGCACAACAATTATTGCTCCATAGCTTCCCACCAGGCCCATCCATCCATCCATCCATCCATCCATCCATCCATCCATCCATCCATCCATCCATCCATCCATCCATCCATCCATCCATCCATCCATCCATCCATCCATCCATCCATCCATCCATCCATCCACGAACTCATCTGCTGCAGGCCTCGCTTGGTAGTGGAGCAACTCACATCCCAATGCCAACATCTTCACAGACATGACTCTAAACAAGGTGTTGTGGCCGTTTGGCCTGGCCATCACTACCAATCTCCAGGTCGGCTTCAAGGTGGGTGTGGTACGAAGTAGCCTGGAGGCCGCTGAAAAGACCTCCCTTTCAAGATGCTGGCGGAGCGCCTTATTAAAGTGCACAGTTTATATGACTACAGACGCCATGCACATATGCCACTGTGAGAATGACATGTGTTTGTCATTCCCTGAGTGCATGCACGTGCGCCTCCGTAGAACCATCTAGATGGATATCTAGATGGAGCCATTACGATAGTGGGATGGATGAGGACATGGGCCTCCGCAGGGACGCCTTCACTGGACCGGACCTGGGATACCCGCCGGGTGGGATACACACACGCATGTCGGTCGCTGCTTGGTGGTGGTATATCACGGTGGACTACACAGAAAAGGAAACAGATTGGCAATGGTGGCAAGTGAAACAGGCAATGATACACGCACTACAGGATGCAACTCCTGGAGCGAGGTGATAGTACTGCGTGCATCATGACGGGCACCGATGATACCCATCCACCTATCCGCCTATCTGCCTATCCAGCCGCCACCACACCGCCCCGTGTTCGTCTAGAGGTACTGTGTGATGATGCTGATGGTGAATGCAGGCAGCGCCCTCCATTTCCTCCCCACCAGCGGAATGGCTTTACTACAATACCTATCTTGTCGCGGTGAGTGTGTATGTATGTATGTGTGTGTATTGCATACTTGCGCTACTTCACGTCGCCATCGGCGGTAGTGTCTGGGCGGTAGTCACTTATCAGCTTAGGGCTATCAAGCAGATGGTTGGCGGCCGGTACATAGTCGCTAAAGGGTGGTAGTGTCATCGCAACAAACAGTACGTACATAGTCGCCAACGCGCCGCGGAGCGACGGAGGCTGGGTGTTGTTATATTATTATTGCAGTAACGCGGTCAAACATCCTGATGGTCCTAGGAGGCCGGGGCACGGGCGAATGCATGTCGTATAGCTTTCGTACAGTAGGGATACACAAAACGTCAAAACAATACGTGCTAAAGCGCTCATCTGCCTGCAACGGACGCTCTGAGCTGCACCGCTTTACTTTACCTCAGCAGCAGCAGAGGCCGCCTTTTCAGCGGCCAATGAGCACTATTGCACATGTTCGTCCCCGTCCCCGTCCCCGTCCCCGTCCCCGTCCCCGTCCCCGTCCCCGTCCCCGTCCCCGTCCCCGTCCCCGTCCCCGTCCCCGTCCCCGTCCCCGTCCCCGTCCCCGTCCCCGTCCCCGTTACTTCTTATTTACATAGTGATGTTGCCCTGCCCACCTACTGCTGCGGGTGAGGCTGCCGTGCGGGACGGGGGATGGCGTCCGCCGTGAAGAACGGCACCGCAACTTTCTCAAACACGGCGCTTTACCCGATAGGTATGTTGACGTTGGCAATCAGCTATGCGCTGGTTGGCAGTTTCGTAGCTTTACATGCTTGTGTGCATTATTACCGACATACGTACATACGTGATGACGTGCGCGGGTGCCGTACCCGCTCTTGCGGAACTTAATCGGCACACACTCATACACATGGCTTGAATACAGGAAGCAAACGGCTGTCACTGCTTGCGTTTGCTCACTACTACATGCAATGCATTTGAAGGGAGTCATCCAACCGCTGACGAGTACTGCGTCTGCTGCCTTGCCTGCTGCGGGCACCACCTGCCTGCCTGGCTGGGCTGCTGCCGCAACTCTCTGCGGTCTGCCGTACCATTCGTCTGCATGAACGCATGTGTCCCTCGCATGTGTCCCTCGTTACCACACACCCCATCAGCGAACACGGCCCTGAACGCCCTGCTCAACGCACTACCTTCGCGCGCGAGTTTCGCGGCCAGTGGCCTGGCTCCGCTTTGGGCCTTGCTCACGGCCGCACGGCCCTCTTCGGGCGTAGCCGTGGGCCCGAACAACCCCCTGGACGCCAAGGCGGGCTACCCAGGCAACATTCTGGACGTAAGAATGCGCGAGGTTCTTGCCTGTAGATGGCTGTAGTATGGCATACGTATTGCCTAAAAATTTATGTGCTAATAATAAGGCGCTCCGCCAGCATCTCGAGAGGCCTTTTCAGCGGCCAGCAGCTCTATCTACCACATGGCCGGCGCCCCGGAGGACCCGCCATGCATGCGTGCTATATGTTATATTATATATTATATTATACGTGTGTCTTTATTTATCCTGTTATATTATATATATGTATATGTGTTTATTTATGAGTAGTCAGTCATCAGCTAGCTAGACCTCTGCAACTGTGTGAATCGATACACACATACACACACTCGTGCGCGTATGTATATCTGTGCAGCAGTGTGGTAGTAGTACATATGTACACGCACATACGGGGATCTCGCCTCTTGACAGCAGGTGAATGCTTTGTTAAAACTCCTCTCAAAGGTCAATTATATTAATTAAAGCTCCCGCGCGCGTTCCCTCGCAAGAGTCACTCTGCTCGTACCCGCATCTCTCTAGCTATCTAGCTAGCTAGCTAACTACCTACTTACTTAAAGATAGGTATATACCTTATCATAGGTATAAACCCTAGCTATGTCACCACGTTAACTACTCTTCCATGCTCTATCTTGCTTGTGTATGCACACATACGCACACACATACATACATACATGCAACCAACAGGTCGCCACTGACGCCTGGACTGTCCGTCGCGGCGAAATCTCGGGCATAAGGCCTTCCCTTTCTGCCGCTGTCTTCCCTGGAGTGCCCTCCGGCAACCCGCCCTCGGTTAATGTTAGTTATACCATCAACGGTACCTACAACCGCCCGGGATACCATTTCGGCTACGCCGACTGGGACTCCCCAGTTTGGCAATCCACCGGGCTCTACGCGCTGCCGGGCCAGGCCATCACCGTTACCTTGTCGACCTTGAGTGCCGTGGGGAGGGGGCTGCAAGTGCAGGTACGTACGTGTGCATGTATGTCGCTCGCATTTTGTTGTGCAGCTAGCTAGCTAGCTAGCTTGCTAGCATCTGGAGGAACTCACATCATGACCGGATGGACATAGACAAGTTTACAAGTTACAAGCAAGTTCCCGTTACAAGTGCTGGGGGGGCCCCGTCTGAAATAGCCGGGGGGGGGGCATGGGCGGTCAATAGCCGTTATTGTGGCGCCGAGTTACAGTATAAAATTATTATGTAGATTATTATTGTTGTTATTATCCTCGATGTACGAAACGAAACTATTGCGCCAATAATAATATATTATATAATATTATTATATATATTATTATATAATATTATTATATAATAATAGAAGTAATATATAATAATGATATATTAATGATGATTTAATGATGGTGGTCATGATGATGATGCAGATCGGTGCCCACACGGACGACCTGACCGGCAAGACGACCTGGTACCGAGTGCCCCACATCGTCAATCGCTTTGACTTGAATACCACAGTAACCTCCGCCGCGAACCCCCTGGGGGGTCCCGTGTTCATTTTGGTTCCCGTGGGAGCTACCCTGGGAAGTGTGCAGGTATGTATGTATGTTACAGGGTGGTATAGCTTCACCAGCGGCCCCCTTTCCCGAGGCAATTCCATGCCCTAAGTCCCTGCTCCTCTCCCCTGCGAGAGGGGCACCCTAATCCATTCAGGTAGGTAATCCTGCCGTATGCGCTGACCTATCCTAACAACCTGGTTCCGTACATGTACGCTCGTGCAGATTACCATCGGGGGTGCCATTCGGGCGCCGTACTTCCGTCTGAATGTAACTCAGCTGGTGAGGAGTATTTTTTGCATCTGGTCAAAATATGTAAATTATATGTTAGGAACACGCACAAGGTGGGAGTGTAACGCGAGACAGGGCAGGGCAGACAGCTTAAAATGGATTCGGTGACGGCTATGTGTACTACCGTAGTATTGGGCTTCCTGGCGGAAGGTTCATACCTAGGGTTTAGCGCTTTTGTGGCTCGAAGGACTAATAATAATATTCGGCATTCGTTAGTTGTCCTGCCTTGCCTTACTTACATACTGCTGTAGTTGCCGTTGCCGGCCTTTGGAAAGGCCTCTATCGATGCCGGCAGAGCTCCATATTAGCGCGTATTTATCGACGATGTGTTTGATGTGTGGGACAGGGGGGTCATATCTTCACCCTGCGGCCGCTACCCTGCGAAACCCTGTGCCTTCCCCGCGGGTATTTCGGGGCACCCTCATCCAGTCACCCTAGTCAACTTCTCAGTGGATCGCTCAGGTTCCGCACCCACCACTGCCGTACAGCTGCTACAACTGCTGGTTCAGGAAAATATCAATACTTGTACGTGCATATGCCTATCTGAGTCTTGCTTTGTATGCATTATATCTTTTAATGTACGTCTTACGCAAACGCTCTTGCTCTTTTCACTGCATGGTATGTTTATTTATTGTGCATGCCGCTGCCGCCCCCGCCGCCCCCGCCACCGCCGCCACCACCGCCGCCGCCAACGCCGCCGCCACTGCCGCCGCCACCGCCACTGCCGCCGCCGCCGCCTGCGCAGAACGATTGGAACAGTACCATCCGGAATTACCCGGCGCCTTGGGCCGAGCTGGACAGTGGGAAGTTGGTGCTCATGCTGCCCTCCAGGGTGAGTGGGGGAATGCGCGGAATGAAGGCACATGCGTGTGTGGCCAGTCATTCATGCATACATGCGCACATGGCATGTGTGCGGCGTATTCAAGAGCCAGCAGTTATATCTGCCACGCACGTCTGCTGTTGCTGTTGTTGCTGTTGTAGGCTATTCGTAACATCACCAACCCAGTTCCGTTGCTGGAGCACTGGAATCTGGTCATGGACCATATGGCGAACCTTGCCAACATAACCAGCGCTCGAGCACGGGAGGGTATGTCTGTATGTCTGTATGTCTGCATGTGCATGTCTGTATGTATCTTCTATAAGTCTATGTGCATGTATATCTGCATGTTCCGTGCATATAACCCCGCCTTAATTCGTCATTTTGCATCACGAGCGAGCGAGCAAATAGATGCTGATGATGCGGTTTCGTGTAACAATGCAAAGATACGTCTAGGATAATATTATGTTGGCATCTTTGGATATACACCACTTTGCACTTAGGGCCTTCCAATAGACCGTCTATAGGCGCACATCTGCGTCATCGGGGACGATATTGTCCCCAAAGGCGCCCGGCCGGTAAACATATACAACAACAGCGGCAATGCAACGCAATCCAGTAACCCCCGATTGGCCCAGCAAGCACCAATCACGTAACTACGTACCCACGTATATGCCCATATGCCCACGACGGGGACATGTAGTGATGGTGTTAATAAACAGCGGATCATCGCTCAGAACTTGGCCAGCCACAACCCCACGTGCAGCTGCGCCCCGATGCGCAAGTAACCTGCCGCCTGCCGCCCCCGCGCGCGGGCTTCTAATCATCCTGCCTCACCTACACATGCATATGCATATCTGCGCAAAGTACCCCCCCCCCGCAACTAACAACTACCCCAACCGTACCGACCCTCACCATGCACATACAAACACACTTACAGACGTACATACAATAGTACATCCATAATATGCCTGCTCCTGCTCCTGCTCCTGCTCCTGCCGCTGCTGCTGCTGCTGTTGCTGCTGCTGCTGCTGTTGCTGCTGCTCCTGCTCCTGCTGCTGCTGCTGTTGCTGCTGCTGCTGTTGCTGCTGCTGCTGCTGCTGTTGCTGTTGCTGCTGCTGTTGCTGCTGCTGCTGTTGCTGTTGCTGCTGCTGCTGCTGCTGCTGCTACTGCTGCTGCTGCTGCTGCTGCTGCTGCTGCCATAGAGCGCTTCCTGGTGGATGCTGACATCAGCGCTGGTTGGATGCACTCGGGCTACCCTGTCATGGCGTACGACGACCCGGAGGTTCACAAGGCGGGTGGGGGACAGAAAGGGCAGCTGGCTGGCCCCCTTGAGACTGCTGACCCCCGATTTGTGTCGAACAGCAGCCTGCGTGCTGGTCTCATCATGAGGCAGATACCGACGTCGTATGTGTATGTGTATGTATGGCTCTCCCCCTGCTTTGCCCCCCGCCCGCGCCGACTGGATGATGATGATGATGATGATGCGGCGTTGGTGCTAGCCAGCGCCTACAGTGCCCATTACATGTTCGCCCATTATCTTAATAGTGGTGGATTGAGCGCGTGCGTGGAAAGATGTCCTAGGCAGCGGGGGCATCCGGCTTGGCGGGCATCCTCAACATCATCTCACATGTGCACTAGTCCCCAAATATAATCAACGCTTGCATGCTGTTGGGTTTCTTCAGGCGCTACATGCTACATCTGTATCAATATTAGCACGATTTTGGTTACGCTACCATTGTTGTACTTATGCGCCATTGTCGTACTCATGCCATGCGTACTCTTATCTTATCACCGAGAGTAAAGCGGAGGAGAGTCTCAAAACCAGGTTTGCGTTTTATTATTAGGCATATAAAGTATGTATTGAAACAAGGCAAAATATACACAACTTCCATACTATGCATATGATTCGCTCTACATAACATCTATTTGCGGGGGGTCCACTCTATTATATTACACGATAGACCCTGCAGTCATTATATTTTTAACCGACACTAAGCTACTAACAAGACGCTATATCATAGATATATCGATGACCTCGCTAAGAGGTTCCTTATTACTTACATACATACAGGGGCTGCACTGGGATATTATTACAAATCGTTAAACCATGTTTAATTCTCTGTCCCGCTGTTTCGCCGCTCCTGCTTGCCGCTGTGTGTTGCACTAACTGATTTCATTTGTCCTTCCATTGGTCCTTCCGCTATTGGGCTATTGGGCGCTCTCGGCCGGCGGCATTATTGGCTGTCGTACGTATGTACGTATGTATGTATGTAGGAGCTGACGGATGTAGCCCAATTAAAGGTACGCGGGCGCTGCATGCGTTATGTGCGTGTTCGCCAGCACGGCAGCACATCACATACATACATACTTACTTACTTTACATTACATTAGATTATTACATATCATGTCTGTCTGTATGCCAATGCTGTTTTGATTGCTCACTACTGGCAACAATAATGATGTTTGTACGGTACGGTACGGTACGGTACGGTACGGTACGGTGGTCAACGTACGGTATAGTAATGGAGTGCCTTGCTTAATGAACACCTTTTGCCTGCCTCACCGTACATGGCTGTGCCCTCGGCTTCTCTTCCTCGCTTACCAATTGTATGATGTGTTGAAAAGAGCTGACATGTATGTATGTATGTACATACATGTATGGATGCATGTGCAGGCTCAGGGCGCATGGGGCCCCTACCACGAGCTGGGGCACAACCACCAATGGAGCGAGATGCAGTTCTCCGGAACCACCGAGAGCTTTGTCAACCTCTTCACCGTGTATGTGCTGGTGAGCTCTTTACCTGTGCTAGACCTATCCGTGATGAGGGTTTTCGCTGTTTGTCATCATCCAGCTATCTGGCGGCGCCACGGACGGTCCGTCCTGCACCGGCAGGTTTATTTACATGTCTTACCTATTGTTATAGGCAAGGTAGCCCCAGCCGACTTCCTAAACGGCAAAAGCCCTTCCAATGCGCTTATTCCCCCATCGATGGACCGATATCGCTATCCGGCGGAAAACCAATCATAAATACATCCTCGGTGGTGGCACCAAGGCCACCACCACCAACATACACTACAAGTAGAGCGGATAATAACAGTAGCACGCAGTTTCATGTAATTGATAATTAGCATATACGGCGGTGCTATATATGCTTTGAAGTTTTATTGGTTAAGGGAACCACGGTGGGAGATCCCGGGATCGAGACCTGTCAGGGTCGAAAATCCTTCCGATGGTGGAAGGTATTGCGCCCCTAGTCGATGGACGGTGGTGACCTGGGATAAATTTGACGGAGTTGAGCCGCCGTCGACCCGGCAGGCGAGATTCCGTTGAATGCTGGTGGTGGGTGCGGATCCACTGAGAAGTTGACTAGGGTGACTGGATGAGGGTGCCCCGAAATACCCGCGGGGAAGGCAGGGTTTCGCAGGGTAGCTGCTACGGGTGAAGATATGACCCCCGTGTCCCACACATGCATACACATGCCGCGCGTGCAGGAGATGACTGGTGTGCCCCAAACGGCCTGGGGCAACTGGGACAACGTTTCACCGACGGGGCGTGCCGCACTTCGCGCCAAGTATTTCGCCGATGGTGCTAACTGGGCGCGAGACTGGGACGTATGGGTAGCTCTGGATACCTACCTGCAGGTCGGTCAGTAAGAACGAATGACGTGATGATGATGATGATGATGATAATAATAATAGTAATAATATAATATAATATAATATAATATAATCAATAATAATAATAATGATGATAATGATAATAATGATAATAATGATAATGGATGATGATCTCCGCGTCATGCATATGCTATGCATTTACACGTGCGGTGTAGGTTCTCCGTTGCCACTGCCTGGGTGTGTATTTATGATGATTATTTATTGTACGACTCGATGAGCCAACCGAAATGTCGTTAGGTCCGTTAGCAACAACCGTCAGCAGTAAGGCAACCGCCAAGGTGCTTACTCAGGAGGGGCGTAGTAGCTGTAGTACACAGTACGGCTGACATAACAACTACAAATACGCGCAAAGTGCGTGACCAGCAGCATATCTTGGGAGGCCTTTTCAGCGGCCAGCTACCGCGAAGGGTACCTACCCTAGCTGTGGCAGACCACAGTCCAGGTCTGCTGCACAGGTATTACATACAGACGAACACAGAGCTGGGGAGAATAAGTCCAGTGACTTCCAGCAGGTGATCGATGGCGTCGTCAGTTATGTCATCTTATGTCATCATTACTGTTGTTGTTTCACGATTGCTGTCCTTCATGACATGCAAATCGTGATGAGCAGTAGTTGAACCATCAGCATATGTAGCGCTTATCACAAAAAATATTATTATTGCGGACTCCAGAGCATGATGCAGCGTACACCAGGAGGTGTATGTATGTATGTATGTATGTATGTGCGTGTATGTGTGTATGTGTGTGTATGTGTGCTGTTAATATTGTTAATATTAGTTGCCTTGTATGTCTTTGCTGAATGTCTCGGCCAAATGCATTGCCTGCGCCGTTATTCATCGCTTTATATAAACCTGTCGCTGTGTGTATCCGGTGTACCGAGGCAGCCGCTCCGCCCGCTGCACCCAAGTGCCGGTTAACACTGAGGTCACCCTGACGGATTGCCGCGTGCCCTTGTCGACGGCGCTACGGTACGGCGGTATGGTACGGCGCTACGGTACGGCGGGTATGAACGACGCAGCTGAAGGAGGGCTTTGGCTGGAACTTCTACCGCAGGCTGTACACTGCCTACCAACAGATGCCCCTACCGCTTCCGGTCGGTGTATGGCGGTGCATGGCAAGCTGCTTACTATTTTCGCACATTTCGTACGCACGTTACCCGCCTAACATGACATATCGTAGTAGGTCGTACAAAGTACGGCACACATGACGTCTACAAATACGCGCAAAGGCGCTCCGCTAGCAGCATCTTGTTGAGAGGCCTTATCATCGGCGGCCAGCAGCTGCTGCACATATAGGGGTAGCTAAATGTGTAGAGTATCTGTAGACGTGGGTGCACAACATGATCGGTACGTTTAGGGTGTACACATACATACATACATACTCATCTTCCTATCTATAAACCTGAATAAGCCACGTGTGTGATATGACGCCTTTTGCTTGTAGGCCGATAACGTGCAGACCTGGATACAGACGAGCAGCAAAATGGCTGGTGGGTGTTTCGATCCGCGTCGTACGGAGGCTTCAGAAGGAAGCAGGGTTGGGTCTCTCAAGAGGGCTGCAGGTCCATTGCGGCTGCTGCGGCTGCTGCTGCGGCTGCTGCTGCATGTAGATGTAGAAGCTGGTGGCTCAAAAGGCCTCTGGAGATGCCGGCAGAGCGACTTTGCGCATGTTCGTCGACGTTTTGTGTGCCATACTATACGGCAGCTACCGTACTACACAAAGATCTAGGCTGACGTGTCGATGTTTCCCTCGCGTGTAGCCAGCCGGTGCCCTAGCCGCTGACCCATACAACAGGAGGCTGTGGGCTAGTACGGCATACAACGATGACATACATGCAGACATACATGCGTAGGACATACATCAGAAGGCCGCGTTCACTATATATCATTGTTACTTCTCCTTTAAATGAATGTAAACAAATTTGTTTATATTCATCACGCCCTGCCACAATCGCGCCACGCAGCAGCAGCCTGATGAATGCGCCACACCTCGCTCACTCGCCCACTTGGCCCCCCATCACTAATCCTGTAAGCTGCTTATCTATCTCCCTCCTCTCCCTCCCCCCCTCCCTCCCCCCGGCTGCTGCGGCTGCTGCAGGTGTCAATCTAGTCCCGTTCTATCAGAAGTGGAATTTCACTGTGACCCAGGACACCATCAATGCTGTGGCCTCTCTGCCAACTTGGACGAGCAACCCCTTCAATGCACAAGGATAAAATTGATCCAAAATAGCTATTGCAGCATATAATGATGCTAACCAGCTGGTAGGTCATATTGTGGATACGATGTGGCTGGCATGGGTGTATATTATGTTTGATGACCATCTATCGTCCGATAATAGTATTGTATAATAATAGTGTTATAATGGTGTTATAGTAGTGTTATAATAGAATTGCGTAATAGATCGTCCAGCCGCCCTGGTAGGTGGTATAATATTATTATTAGGTATGTAGGGACCGCAGATAGATCGTGATGCGTGTGTGTGTGTGTGTGTGCGTGTGTGCGTGTGTGCGTGTGTGTGTGTGTGCGTGTGTGTGCGTGTGTGTGTGTGCGTGTGCGTGTGCGTGTGCGTGTGCGTGTGCGTGTGCGTGTGCGTGTGCGTGTGCGTGTGCGTCGGCTCGTGCAAAAAGCTACTAGCGATGATTCATTCCTAACCATATGCATGGCCTGTACTTGTTTTTATAATTTCCTCTCGCTCTCCCTCATTCCCCTGTCCTGCTGTTCAATATGCTATGTCGTACAGGGAATGAATACGTGTCTTCTTTCGGTGGACATACATGCGCGAATTTACACGTGCAGATGTGGATACAATTCGCGAGACGCAGCCTAACATATATAGCTAGGCCAACATGTAAACGCAGCGCCGTACGCTGCGTCGCGACCTGTTCCCAAGCTAATAAACGAGCACAAAATATTGCTGTAGCTGTTACAACTCAATATCTCAATATCTTGCATTTTTGAATTTTCCGGGATTGAAAGAAATGGCGGGCGTGCGGGCGGGCTGGGGGGAGGGGAGGGCTACTCGTTTCTTATTAGAAATTTGCATGTATGTGCATGTGTATGTACATGCAGCCGCCGGAAGACCTAGATTCATCAGAGATGAGAAGAAGGGGCTTCTTGCATTCCATCGAGCGACGCAAGCTTGCTGGCCGCGGGCTTCATTCCTCTTACAAACCATGGTTTCATTGTATACGACGCGTACCCCCTCCCCCCGCCAGCGGGGTAGTCGTTCATGGTGAAAACCTAAAAGTATGTATGCGCTGCAGTAGCGGGCCCGAACTGCTGAATATTGTACGAGGGAAGCTAGGTCTGAATTTGCCTCCGTTTCGTACATGTGATTGTGCAGTACTAATAGCACGTGGTAACGAACCAACCAACCGTCAGCAAAAGGATGACGTTGGCCGAGCTTTCCAGCGGCTGATGATGCGTAACAAATCATCATGACTCGCACTGGTACCCATTTGTTTGGCCACGTATGGTTTTATGTATTATTAGTTGTGCGTACACACACGTTTAAAGACCAGATATCCTCCGTGGCCCCCGGCAACTTGGGAGGCAACTTTGCACCCATCCAAATACGCCGTATTTTACGTAGCAGTAGTACACGGCGTCATCATCACGGCCGCGCCTCATCACACTGTGGGTGCGTGGGGTTGTCGAATGGGGGGTAGTATACCAGTATATTCATGTACTGCTTGCTGAACACATCCCGTGGATACCACCCCTCTTCTTCCCATTGGCCGATTGGGAAACTTGGGGCGCTGATGGTCACTAGTAGAGCTATATACCTCTTGCTTGCTATACGTGAATTAGATCTTTACATCGAGAATTAGGTATAGCTAGCTCTGATTGCGACCACGTGGCCGTGGACGATAATGCGATCGATGCAGCGGCGAGCAGTGTGGCGATTGGATTGTTATCGAGTCATCGAGCTCGAGTGGTGAACCAGCTGGTTCTCGCATTGCAGCAGGAGGCAGTTGTTCTGAATCGTGGACTCCTTGGATAGGGCTTTCCCTCAATATATGTATGTAAGTATGTATGTATGTGCGTATGATGCGTAGCTGGTACAGTGACCAGGTGGTGGTGGCTGCGGCAGGTGGTGAGCAGGCGGTGGCACGGGCATTCACCGCGAGCGGTGAGGCAGCCACATACACCATCTGCATCGATCTGCACGCAGCAACCCTGTGGATGCACGGCTGGTCGGTGGACGAGAAACTAAAAAATAGAGTATACCTGTGTGAATAAGGTTAATTTTCCGGATGAGGAAAATAAAGTTGTTTGATGATACGGATTTGACAAGATGGGTTATGTTGATGTTGTTTGCTAGATAAAGGAGAAAGCTGCCTTGCAACGAAATAGGAGGAACGACATGTAACTGACTGGATGATGGGCACGCTAGCTATTGAGGAATAGGGCGCGGGCTGGGACCATCGGTTTGCATTCAGCAGCGTGATCCGCTGACAAACAGCCGTAAAAGTTGGCCTAGGGTAGGGGGCTGTAAGACTCTGCAAGGGGAATATCCTCGGCCGCAAGTCCGGCAGCTCGCGCACCAATAAGTCGATACGTAGACCCCGAACCGGCAGAATTGTAATTTGTT